CGAGACTGCTTCGGATTCTGTACCTCTTGGGGATTCTTCTCTTTTGGTTTATTCACCGGTTGTCGTAGAGCTTCTTTACCCGGTGTGGGACTTGCAATCACTCCCATCTCCGTGAGAGTTTTGGCTGGTCCCCGCTTGTTCACCCCCTGCTCACTAGGTGGCGGATAATTGTAGTGGTATTCATTTCCGCTCCGTGTCGCAAAAGCTTCTTGTTCTTCTTCAGAGAGCAGGAAAGTGGAGATTCTTTCGTCATCTTCCCCTGGGATAGCAGAGACTCCATAACAAGACTTCCCTTTTCCTTTAGACTTCCTCCCGGATGACGAACCGGCCCATTGTTCATCTCCAATCAGATCTGGATGAACCCAAAGGATTTCGCCATTTGGGGTTGTGTGCGGCACAAGTCCCTTTTGGCGCTGTCCGTGCGGATCGTCATTCACCGTCTTCATCCCGACTTTGGTGACGCGTTTTGGCTCGAACCAAGTTGTAGGCACCGACCCAAAACTGATTGACACTGCGTTGGCCCCCACATTCTTGGCTGGTTTCGGGGTTATGACTCCTACGTCGATTAACGCCTGGATCTTGTCCTTGAGGTGGTAGCATGATCTCGTAGGGTGGTGGACCGCTCTGTGGTACGCGCAGTACTTTGGATCCGTCACTTTGCTGGCCCCTTCTTGATCCACGATCGCCGGCAACTGGATCTTGTTGTTCTCCAACAGGTATTTGAAGATGCCGGGAACTTCATCATCCTTGAAGGAGTACACTTTAGGAAACCTCGGCTCCGCAGATTTCTGCTTCTGAGGCCGTTGTTGCCATTGTCCTCGAGATTGTTGGGGTGCTTGTTGCTGTGGCTGCTGTTGCTGTGGTTGCAATTGAAAGGTTTGATTAGCATCAACTGCATTAGCTTGTGCCTTACCTTTCCCCCGTGGGACGAAGTTTTGCTTTGGAACACTCGTCGCCGGTTGGCCTCTTTCCGCCTTCTTCCTCTTGAGGAATCGCTCAGCTTGCTCTCCCCGGACTTTCAAGTCCTTCCATGTATTGGATGGTGCTGTCCCCATTGCTTCTAGCACGTCCAACGCGAGGTTGTTGTGGCAGGTCTGGAGGATGAATTCCTCGGTGATCGGGTCCCGGCAATTCATCGCCTTGTTCCGGAATCTTTTGACGAAGGTATCGACTAACTCTCCGTCCTTCTGCTTCTCATCGAGCAACGATCCGATAGATATCTCGGTGTCGTCGTCGAAGAAGTTGGCCAGGAACTTGGTCTCCATGTCATCCCAGCTGTTTACGCTGCCTGGCTTGAGGCGGCGATACCAATCGAAGGCGGCTCCGCGAAGAGTGCCGACGAATGACCGCACCATCAGAGGCTCATTACCAGAGATCACCCCCGCCTTCTTTCTCCTGAGGAATCGCTCAGCTTGCTCTCCTCGAACTTTCAGATCCTTCCATGTCTTGGATGGTGCTGTGCCCATTGCTTCCAACACGTCCAGCGAAAGGTTGTTGTGGCCGGGCGGGGGGGGGGAATTCTGAATTCCTCGGTGATCGGGTCCCGGCAATTCATCGCCTTGTTCCGGAACCTTTTGACGAAGGTGTCGACTAACTCCCCGTCTTTTTGCTTCTCATCGAGCAGCGATCCGATAGAGATCTCGGTGTCGTCGTCGAAGAAATTTGTAAGGAACTTCGTCTCCATGTCGTCCCAGCTGTTTATGCTTCCTGGCTTGAGGCGGCGATACCAATCGAAAGCGGCTCTGCGAAGAGTGCCAACGAATGATCGCACCATCAGAGGCTCATTACCAGAGATGACTCCCAAGTGCGATTTGAAGTAAATCAAATGCTGAGTGGGTGAACCCATCCCATTAAACGGCGTGAAGTTAATTAGACTGAACTTCGCCGGATATGGGATTGATTCCCACTCTCTTGGGTATGGACAAGGAATGCCCGTCTTTTTCGTCTCTTGAGCGGAAATCAATGTATTGGTTTTGCTCTCGAGGTTTTTAATTTTTAGGCTTTCACCTGTATCTTCAATAGCATTCCCGTTACCACCCCCTGCATTGACGGGAGGATCATTGATATTATGAGCATTCGTATCCTCGTCCTCCTGATGGACTTGGTTGCGACGACTCGGCTCGCCTTGCTGGTTCGTCAATGCTTAGATTTGTTAGTCATGCATTTCTCTCATGTTCTGCATAGTCATCTGCATCTCGAACCTGAAAGTTTCCTGCTGCTTAGCCAATGCGTCTTCAATCATCTTGGCAATTTGCTCCGCACTTATCATAAGCGCCTCGCGGGGTTGTCCCTCGCTGGATACCGTATTATCTGATGCAACTACGGAGCCAGCATCAGATTCTTCATCTTCTGAAGGGCGTCTTGTCCGAACCCTACCATAGGTTGCTCGCTTGATGGTTCCGGACTGTAGACGGGTTCTAGGCCGGGAGGCTCTCAGAATCGACTCAAAATCGTCCTGTGCCGATGTCCCCTTGCCGGTCATGTTGGTGGTGACCCTCGGAAATTCTCCGTCTTCAATCATTCTTCTTCTTCGTTGAAAACGCCTAGGCCTGGGTTTTGGCGTCTCCGCACTGAGTCTTTCAAAAACTGAAACTCTTTCGGGGACCGCCTTGATGCAGTTGCATTCAGACAATACCGCCCGAATGAGTTTGGAATAGGGACATTGAATTTCCCGTTCTCGGGGACTCCTCTTCCTGGTTCTATTCGTACCCCCAGCACGATAGTACAACTCGTTATTTTAACAGTCGGAGTAACCTATCGTGTGCGGGTACGACTTCTCAGATATAACACTATCACCATCAGATGACAATATTTCCATCTGAGGTCGGATTGCCTTCTTTGGGCTTCCAAGAGTCACACGCCTCGAAACGCGCCTTTGTGGGTGTGAATCTTCAGCGGGCTCCTGCACCTTGATGCGCAAAGTTGTGCGCTTGGGTGCCACGATTTTCTTCAAATGTTGAGGGTTGCGGTAACCCCCAGCATATTGAATCGTTTGGGACTTCTTCATTGGCCCCAACCTTTCTTGAACTGGAGCTTTGCCTCGTTCTTTGGGAAGTGGCCCGAGGCGCTCCAAAATTGACTTTCTCCTTCGGGATGATTCAGCATGATCTCCCGGAGTAGTTGCGGAAATCACCAGCGATTTAGGTTGATTCGCCGTAGTTTGAACTTTCGACGGCTGCTGTTGTTGTTCCTTGGTCTGAACCGCCGTTCGTCACCTCCTTTTGCAGTCTTCTACGGGCTTCTTCAGCTTTGGCCCGTACTTGCGCCGATAATGCGCGGCGCTTGCTGATACGCTCCTCCAGCGTCGTACGGTTCCGTTTAACCCGGACCCACTCCATCGTTGATGGCTTGGAGGAACCACTCTTCACTTGATGTTGAGGCTGTTTGCCTCGTTTGTTCTTCAGATCCGCATTGTAGCGGACCCCGTCAACAGACTCCATGGCCTTGGCGAATTGCTTCGCGAGGCGTTGACGCTGCCTCTGGCGAGCTCTCTTAGAGAGAGTCATCACGCCTTCGATGGCGGATTTAACCTGCTTAGAGGCCAATGGGACTTCACCCAACGCAACTTCGGCGTCGATTGGGGTGAGGTTGTCGTTGGTGGCTTCAACTTCTTCGCACCAACGGACTTTTCTCCTGGAGGAGAACTTCTGGAATTTCTTGGACTTACGGGGGAGGTTGATCCAGATGAGGACACATACTCCTCATACTTCTGCTGGTCGAACTCATACTCGACCTCCTCAACGACTGGGATCTCGATCCGCGGCTGCGACGCTCCGATCTCGGCAGCGAGATCGGTGGCTCCCACTGTGACTTTTTCTCCTTGTGAACAAATCGCGAGCTCCTGTTATTCGGTCACTCGCTTTGGTGGGTTGTTTGCCTGCGCCGGGGTTGTTTGCCGTGGACCACCGCGCGATCTAGATCCGAACAGATCTACGCAGTATAACGGGTATTATTTCACCAAGGAAATAATAGCCGGAGGGATTATTTCACCAAGGAAACAATCGCTCGAATCTCGGGATCAAAGACCAAGCTTTGATCCGGAGTGTAACAACGTAGATCTGAGATCTCGATCCCCTCGAACTCCTGCCTTTTGTGATGCGGGTGCTCGTCGAGAATCAGATCCGAACGTCCAAGTCTTCAAGCCTTCAAAAACTCTGAGATGAGGTCTCAATCCGGCAGAGTTTCGGCTCTCCAAAAGTTCTTCCAAAAGTCCTCTCAAATGATGAATGACCCCGCCTATTTATAGGCAACCAGATCTGTGCATTTGGCACAGATCTGGGCGGCCACCTCAGGGTGGCTCGGCTCATGCCGAGCCACTCCGGGCTTTGCGTCCGTCTTTCGGTTGTTTCAAACTTTGTATCCGCTTCGTCCGTGATTCGGTTATGCGGTTGATTGGTCTGAAATTGATTCGTTGACTTGATTCCTGATTTGGCAATAAATCCGACTCTGAGTTTGATTCTGCACGCGAGTGGATTCATTCCGTCGTTCACGTGCGGTTCGTCAGCTTCGTAGCCTTGTTAATCCGCTTCATTGCGTGTCACTTGGCTTCGGTGTTGTGGACTGACGTTCGTGCTTAGATACGTCGCACGATGGTTCATTAGTTCGTGTTGAGCCGTGTTAAGGGATCTATAAGCAATTTTATATGCCTACAGGAATATAACGGTAAGACCGTGCTTAGCACGTGCTAAAATAGTAGCGAGTTTAGGTTCTAAGATTAGAATACCTACTCAAATCGATAAAACCTTTTGCATACAAATATGATGTTCTGATCTATTCATGATTTGAGATTTCAAATGTTTCCTCGATGGTTTTTACTTTTTAGATGGGCACGTGGAATGTCCTGAACATAGTAAATCGCGGAGCTTGTATCGGATGATGGCCCCGACCCGACCCATTTGCACCTACCCGGGGCGGTGGACCCTTATGCGCTTCTGTGAACGTGGCCGAAAAGTCATCGCTTGGAGTCGTTGAAGGGTCCGTCAGCAAGTTGTTGGGAAAGGAAACCCTAGCGATAGCCGTGCCCTCTATTTATCGCGGTACCGAAAGAACTGGGAATGGCAACAACGGCTAGGGTTTCAGATCTGGACGTAGAGCTGAGATCTCAGGGAAGAAGGAGGAGAGAGAGAGGAGATGGCGAGCAGCGGCGTGGATCTCGCGGACGTCGCCTCGATGGATCTGATGACGGAGCTGCTCCGCAGGATGAAATGCCAATCCAAACCCGATAAGCGCCTCATTCTCGTCGGTACTATTCTCTCTCTTTCTCTCACGCCTCTTTTACTTTGTTTCTTACGAGATCTGTACGTTTCGGTCCGGATCTGTGCTTTGGTTGAAGCGAATTGCGCAATTTCCATCGAGAGCCCGCTCGTTTTGACTGCATTTTCATTTGGGGAGAAGCTTGTTGATATTAAAAGCTAGGGTTTTTTTAATCATATTAATTATTTCTTTATTGTATATTAAGCCCCCAAAATCTTCATATTCTAATTTACACTCCCAAATCGTTTATGGCGAATACCCAGGGTTCGATTCCATCCGTGATTTGTAGCTTAGGTTAAACTCTTGGAATTAATTGGGTTAGGGGTGTTATTAAAACATATGAAGTGTAGACATTGGGTGTAAAAATAATTCAATATGGTATCTTGGTCTTAGGCAATGATTTTGAAAGCAGGCGGGTTAACAAATAAATCAAGGTAAAGCTTTGGGTTTATAAAAGAACCATTTTTTTTCCTGTTTTGTTATCATTCTGTAATTTAGCAAGAAGTTGGTTGACATTGAAGTTAACAACACAAGATTGTCACTTCCTAGAGAAATTCATACTTGGTTTGCTATTTTTCTAAGGGTTGTTAGATGGAAAATTTGGCTAATTCTTGTTACCGCTTGAATGTATAACGCAGCGCGGAAGTAATTAGCCTTGAAATCCACCAAGGGTGGTTCTTTGTATCCCTAGAGAAGGATCTTCGAATCTACATAGAACTTTGAATCCATGAAGAGAATATAATAAAGAGGAATTTTAATTGATGAAAAGTTATCTAATACCATGAGGTTTACGATCCTTCTTCTTAAATAGAAAAACAAACCCTACTCCTAATAAGAATAGAATTACTAAAGGAAGAAATAATTTAAACTACCTAAAAGACTCTATAACAAAGGAAACAAATCAGTCCAAATTGAGTCAAAATTGGTTTTAATCTAAATTGATTCTAATTTTATTCCTAAAAATAAACTCAAAGGTGATTATTTTTGGAATTCAACCAAAACAATGAGATTTTGAAAATATGGCATTTTGTTTGTCTCCGTCTCGTCGAGATAGGCTATTTATATATATAATATGTCAGATTCCGTATCTGGGTTGGAAGATATGATCGTTTCTTTATGAAAATCAATAATACGTATCTATCCGCATTTAGTTCATGATTGACACTCCATGAGATTGTCCGTTAAACGTCCTACTTCAAAGTAGCACTAAATTATTGGCAATCATACTATATAAATTATTAAATGATTCGTAGATATCCATTGCTTCATGTTCATGGAAGAGATAGGATACAGTGTTGTAAAAAGCAGGATATAGCGGTGCTATAAACGCCAGCTAATGCGGCGGAGTGGTGTGATACGCTCCGATAAACCTGATAGCGGGTGAGATTGTTGGAGAAACATCCGCTTTTTACTCGAAAAGGCGTTAATAGCAGCTACGGAAATACGCGGTGTTAGCGCTTAAAACATAAAATCGTTTATGTCTTTTCAAAAAAATCTCTACTGAACCCGCCCGAATCCAATTAAGACAAAGACCCATTCACTCCTGTCTCCTGCGCCGTTCTGACTCCTGATCCGATGCCCTAGCCACCCCTCTATCTCTCGTCATGCCTCTCACCTCCTTCGACAACGCACTTCCTTGCCCGGCTCTCATTGATGAGCTGGAAAACACCTCCGAGCAGGCAGCAACACCGCCTCCGTGCAACAGCCACTCCAGCACAACACAACCATCTCTCTCTCTCGCCCCTTTCTCTCACCTCTTCCAGTGACCATCCTTGTCGCCTCCATTAGAGGCTGAAACCACCTTCTCTGACGACAGCAACACCACCTCCGGTCGACTCCATTTCCCGCAGCAACACCGCCATCTCCGGTCGACTCCATTTCCAGCAACAACAACTCTCACAGGCTCAACTTCTCCATTGCTGTGTCTCTCTGTTGGGTTTGGTCTGCAATAGAGAGAAAAATGTAATTTGGCTAAATCATTTGCAAGCTCATCTACTTCAGATAGAGAGAAAAAGGTAATTTATTCTTTATAATTATACTACTTTATTAATATTATGCAATTGTTACACATCTATTTCATGCTTAGGCATCAAATATGCATTTATAGAATTTTTAGATTTTTTTGTAATTTTTCTTAATTTTTTATAATATTTAAATATATTTATATTTGACCTCTATTTAGCTATGCGTTATTTGCCGCTATTTTGCCGCAATAACCCTAAATAGCCTTAGTGGTACCCCACGACGACGCAACGGTATCCACTATTAGCAACCTTGATAGGATACTACAGTTCTTACTTGTTATGAATATATTTTTGAAAGCCATGTTTGGTGTTGCTTCTATTTATCAAGCTCACTTTGGTTGTCATGGGTATATTCTTGGACCAAGTTTGGTTTTTCTTTGGCATTTAAGTCTCAGTTTTCTCTAGATCACTAGCATGTAAATGTTCCTTAAAGAAACTCATTGATAAAACATTTAACTTTAATGATTAAAACAGATGTGCGTTTATGTTTTTATATGTTTGAATCTGGAGCATAACATTAGCGATTAGACTTAAAATTAGGTAGTCTTAACTACAGCAGTTTATTGTGTGGAAGAGTGGGGATTCAGTGTGTAGGTTTTTTTTTTCTTTTGGGGGTTGGGGGGGGGGTTACCATGTTGCTTGTCTTTCCCTTGCCAAAGGTATATGATAGGAATTATATAGGATACTTAATGTTGGAAGAAACTAATCTCATCTTTGTTGCATATTTCGAATATAATGCACTTAGGCTTTTAGATTCAACTTGTATTGTTGATTTTATCAACTCCAGAGTCCAAACTTTAGTACCTTTAATTGATCCATCATTACACAGTTGATGGTACTTCAACAATATTTGGCACCAACATAGTCCCGTGTGCTATTTATTGACTACTAAAGGGACATAAGTATTTTTTCCAATCATTCTGATTAACACAAGGAGTTTTGTAGCTTGGTAGAAAAAAGAGTTATCACTACCTTGCTCTTACATATAGAGGAAAATGATAATATTTTAGATCTAGAACTACCAACTTGATGTATAATCTGTGCAAAATCATATATCTGAAGGTGTGATTATTCCTTTTGTTTTAAAAAGTTATCATAAACGTTTTTCTCAATTAAAAGCATTAGTATCAGCGTGAAGGATTGTTTTGCTTGCCATAGGTGAAACTATAAGTAAACCCTCAATACATTGTTTTGTAGATTTTCTTTTGGTGTTATAGGCTTCTAATAAATGTTCTAAAAAGCAGCTATTTAATGTGATGTAAGCAGGGTACATAAAGTTAGGTAGTGTTTTAACTTCATTTATCCTAATGGAGGAATAATTTGTCTGCAAGTGGTCCTAATGCATTAACATATGACACTTGAATACGGGCTGAACCCTACTTTTTCTCGATCATATCCCGGTCTTTTCTTACAAATTTTAGTATATAATATCTATGAAATAGTAGAACTACCACTTGTACATATAGTTGCATGATTCCCCGAACCCCCTTGAACCGCCGTTCAGTTCTTGCAAATCGATTCCTGGTACATTTGCGAACCGATTCCCTCTGATGCACAAACCGGTACCCCAAAATTAGCGTACCACTTACAAGTATGCTAGATGCAAAGTCTATTTAAGTGCATGTGCGCAAGATGCAATGCAATATGTACAATTAAGTGAAGGGAGACACTCAATAGAGTGTATGAGCCGATGACTTTACTGTAACTAAACACCTATGTTAATTAAATGTAAAACGAAACATGATCCTGAAACAAGCTCTCTGAAAAAATAAAAAAAAAACAGAACAAAGAAACAAACTCCATCAAAAAGAAGTATTTAAATATATTGTATGAAAGAAATATTAAAATCCATAATTAGCTTTCTAGTTTTCTACTATATACTTAGGAAAAATTTAAGTGCACCCTAAAAAAATTACAACGTATCACTAACCGAACTTGCATACTGAAGCAAGCTACCCCTAACAAATTCAAATTTTCTAAGTGGCAAATTGTGTATCCGAATTCGTACCGTGAGCCGCTATGTACCACGTACTGGGTAACTATGCTTGTACATGCACTAATCAGTCCTAGCACTTTAAAAATTATAGAAAGGAAAAAAACATGTTTCTTGTTCAATTCATTAATTACTTAGTTTTCCAGGTCCTCCGGGATCCGGGAAGGGTACACAATCTCCGATTATAAAGGATGACTACTGCTTGTGTCATTTGGCCACTGGTGATATGTTGAGAGCTGCAGTTGCTGCCAAGACTCCTCTAGGGGTTAAGGCTAAAGAGGCGATGGATAAGGTGCTTTCCTGGAAATACCTTTTGAGTTTGATAGGTTAGATTGCTGTGCTAAAATTTAGTCTTAAGTTTCTGTTGTCTGCCTTGGTCTTTTCCAGGGAGAGCTCGTGTCTGATGACTTGGTTGTTGGAATAATTGATGAAGCTATGAAAAAGCCATCATGTCAAAAGGGTTTCATTCTTGATGGATTCCCTAGGACAGTTGTTCAAGCTGAAAAGGTTACATTATTTTCTCTTCTTTTCTTAATTATAAGTCTGGTCCATAATAATATGCACAAGTAAAGTTCATTTTCCGCAATGAGTTCTTATCTGCCTTTTTCATCATTTCTGCAGCTTGATGAGATGCTGCAAAAGCAGGGCGGAAAAATTGACAAGGTGCTCAATTTTGCAATTGATGACGCCATATTGGAAGAGAGAATTACCGGTCGTTGGATCCATCCGTCTAGTGGGAGGACTTACCATACAAAATTTGCACCTCCAAAGGTTCCTGGCACTGATGATGTAAGTGAAGGCGCTTTATTGTTGCTACTGGTGGTTTTTCTTGTTCTATTCATATTTTTTGTTTACATCCTCCTTTTGTGAGTATGCTTTTATTGTATATCCTTGTTATAGAAGATGCAACAATTTACATAACCACAAATTATGCAGTTTTTCATATGTAAAGATCCTATAATAAGGAAAACTATTGAGAACACAGTGGCAATGTTATTGTGGTTTTCTAGTCCAGATGAGTGAGTCTAGGAGAATCGTTTTCATGACCTTTCTGCAATAATTAGATCAGTGTTTTTGTATAAATCTTCATGATTTAAATGTTTTTAAGAAGTGATGTAACAGGACTTCACTATGAGTAATGATAACCATATATCCACAATCGTTAATGATTGCAACTTATGGAACGAGGTTCAGGTGATGATTAACATATAATGGGTCTTAACTTTTAGGTCGCCTAGTCATCTGAGTTTACCAGTTGTTAGCTAGGTGGTGATGGCGTAGTTCCTCTATGGAGTGTCATCAATGCACTGTTTATGAGTTAGTGGCCTGTTGATTTTGATGATTCTGAATTTCTGATGAAGCTAGTATGTTGGTTCCCTCATTGCGTGCTTCCTTATTATTACATGATTCTTATTCTTATTCCTCTTTATAGGTCACTGGAGAACCCCTGATCCAAAGGAAAGACGACACAGCTGCAGTTCTCAAGTCTAGACTCGAAGCTTTCCACAGGCAAACAGAACCTGTATGTCGCTTTCTATTTTATTCAACAAGATTTATGCCATGCTGTTTGTAACAATAACAATTTCACTCAACTATTCACATCTGCTTGAATGGAATCTACGTTTCCATTTATTACAATGGTTGATTCCTTTGTACTGTTTAATACCTTCAAGGCTTCAACCTACCGAGTTCCCATATTTTTTTGTCTCACTATATTTTGTTAACTGCAGATAGATACAAACCTTTGCTTATTATTACTATTTCAGTGGAAGTTGTCATATTCGAATATACATTTGTTTGATAATATATATCTTATATAGTTGTGTTTTCATCAAGGTTGCATAGGTACGGGTACGAGACATGGAAAATTTGTAAAAAGTAAGGTACGGGGACACGACTCATATATATATATATATATATATAAGTAACAATTATATTAACTATAACAATTTTAATATGTTTAATTTCAAATTGAGAAATAAGCTCATTCCTTAAAATTATAACTATGTTATCGAAACGGGTGCTGAAAATAAACAAACCCAAACCCTATTTAACTGAATCAAAACAGGTGCTTAAACCCAAATCCAAACACAAACCCTATTTAATTGAATCAAAATAGGTGCTCAAACCCAAACCCAAACCCTATTTAACTGAAAACCCTAGATTCCATTTCTCTCCTGATGTTGCCACGAGAATATCGTGTTATCGAAACCTTGTTCCCCTTTGAAGCTTCCCTGACCTCGTCGACGCTTCCCCGACCCTCGTCGAAGCTTCCCCGACCCCGTCGAAGCTTCCCCGACCCTCGTTGACGCTTCCCCGACCTCGTCGAAGCTTTCCCGACTCGCGTCGACGTTTCCCCGACCTCGTCTTCGATCTCCGAGCTTATTTTCTCCCGTGCCCCCTCCGTTTGGGTGCGGAAACATACCTAAACCGCACCCGCCACGGGTACGGCGCCAAAATTACCGTGTCGGAGTATCACAGGTTTTCATGTTAGGATTCTGGAAAATAGCTTTGTTCAACAGTCTGGTCCATATGTGCTAGTAATAACTTTTACACTGCTTGAAAGTGTGTCAAAAATTTTGGATATGCAACACAAGTTCAAGCTTAGATCTTTCTTCACAAACTGAGCCAAAACCGAAATGTAACCTAGGAAATAAACATGCATTGAAAACATCTTGAATTTAAGGGGAAAAGACATGTCTTTAGAAATTTCTAAATACGATTGGTGCAAGTTTCCTCCCATCTTATTTTTTCAGCAGTTCTTTTAAACCTTTACGATTGAAGATCTTTAGGGAAAAATGGAGTTTCCTGAGTTCAATGAAGAGAAGGCTCCAGATCCTCTCAGTCACAGTGCCAAAGATTGTTAAGATTAATTCTACCAGGTTATCTGTTTAGTGTGATGGTGGAGCTTACATTTTAGTATTACGAATTCATGGGTCAGGGAAGTTACCAATGGCAGGAATTGGATCATATTTAAAAGCTTATTCACTTAAAGGAATGTGAAAAAAAGATCCTTGTAAGCTATGGGGCTTTTCGTTAATACACTTATGTTTTTATATGTCTGTTCAATGTTATAGAAGGCGCTAGGTGGATTAGGCGTTCGAGCTGGGGCCTAACACCTAGGCGCCGCCGCCTGCCCCCCCCCCCCCCCCCCCCCCGCCTATTTTTTAATTTATTTAATTATAATAATTCACCAAAATATGTATTAAGTTCATATAAAATTGCAAAAAATAGATAAATGACATGATTAGATCCATAATCGACCATGCATAAATAACTAAATAGCCAAGTACTAAGAAACATCACCGTGTACAACATCACCGTGTTCAACATCACCATGTTCAACATAAGACCAAGTACTAAGAAACATCACCGTGTTCAACATAACAAGTCACCACAGTAGTAAATAATATCACAAACTCAGAAGTCCAATGCTCAAGAAGAAAAAAAAAACACAAATAGTCTAAATGCCTAGCATGGGATATAATCATATAATCTAATGAGAATCACAAAGCCGATGGTAAAAATTAACAACATAAGGCTACCTGCCAAATCACCCATCCACATTACACAGCATAACAAGTGGCAATGACAACTGTCAAATATTAAAAGGAAACGCATAAAATTAAGATGATAATCTCCAGATAAACTAAATTCCTCATCTCAAACAATCGGAGATAACACCAGGAGTCTTATAACAAAACAAACCCTAAAATGCTTATAACAGTCTTAAACCAAACGATCGTAGTCTCATATAATCCCAAAAGCTCAAAAGCGATAAAGAGATAGGAACGATACCGATCCCAAATCTCAAAGGTAAGACTTCTGGAACTTGGCGCGAGCTCCATGACCGCCAAACTTCTTAGGCTCGCACCGCCTCGGATCAGCAACGAGCAGAGTCTGATCGTAGTCGATGAGGATGTCCTTGATCTCCTTGATCTGCTCGTTGATGTACTTCTGGTAGAAGGCGACGAGGGCCTTCGCGATGCTCTGGCAGATGGCGTAGATTTGGGAGGTGGCTGGTGGCGGGAGAGGACCGGCGGGGGAGGGGGCTGCGGGACTGCGGGACTTTGGAGAGGATGGCAGCGGGAGAGGACCGGCGGAGAGAAATTCAAAGAGAGAGAGAGAGACTAAGAGAGATAGGGAGATGGAGAGGCTACAGGTTAGAGATGAGGGTGGGGGGGGGAGGGTTAGTTTATGGGTTCGGGTGACAAGTTACGGGTTCGAGTTTGGATTTTTTTTCCTCCTTTTTTATTAAAAAAGATAAAGCGTCCGCCTAGCCCTAGACGGCTGCCTCGCCCAGACCGGCCGCTCCGGCAGGTTTGCGAAGCTCCGCCTAGGCCGCTTTTTTAGAACACTGTCTGTTGCACATGCATAAATATTCACTTAAAAAGAAAATGGGAAAATAAGGGAGCCTTGTAATGTATGGGGCTTTTACGTGACGTGATTCTCATATGCTTGCATGGTTGGGTCTTGAATTCAGGGGTCAGTTAACCATGGCAGAAATGAGAAATTATTTATTCACTTAAAAGAGCATAGGAAAATAGAAGAGCCTTGTGGTATGTAAGGGGCTTTTCGTTAATACACCTATATTTTTATATTTCTGATGTACATGCATAAATATTCACTTAAAGATATCATGGAGATAAAGAGAGCTCTGTAATGTAAGGGGCTTTTTTATGGACAAGATTCCTATAGGCTTACATGTGTAGCGTAACAAATTCATGGTTTAGGCGAGTTAACCAAGGCAGAAATCGGATCTCATTTAAAGGATTATTCACTTACAGGGACATGGGATGATAGAAGAGCCTTGTAATGTAAGGAGCTTTTTGTTAATACACGTGTTTTTATATTTCTGATGCACATGCATAAAAGTTCATATATGTTGGATATGCTTGCATACATATCTTTATCCGGTTTTAATATGTCTCTCAATTTTTCTTTTGCTTGCTTGGCGAGCATATTGTCCTAGACTTGGGCCAAAGTGGCATTTACCCAAGTACACTTTTGACCTATCCTGTCCAGGTTGTGGAGGCCAAATTTATATTCTGCTTTTTCAGCTTTATGCATATCATCATCACCAGTCAAAAAGGAAAGGAAAAAAGAAAGGAAAAGAACACCACTCAGCCAAACTAACAATCACCATCTCTTAGAATCCTGCAGGAAAGGGGAGCCCCAATTCAAACCCTAATATAAAAAACACCCACCCATTATACCTTCGTACCTCTGAGGTCTCTTTTAGGGGTATTAGTCCTGATACATGCATTCAATCCTCGGGTAAAGCCTGCAGCTGGAATGTGCTGGATTGCATAAGTAGTCAGACATATGTTTCATCTCTTAATTTTTCAAGGATTTTTAAGTTAATACTTGTTTTAGTATTGTTGTGTTTGCTGTGTTCATGCAACATTCTTCATTTTACTGATTTTCAGGCTTTCTCAACTTTTAGTTAAATTGATTTGATTTCTCGTGCAGGTCATTGATTACTATTCCAAGAAGGGCATTGTGGCAGAGCTTCATGCGGAGAAACCCCCTAAAGAAGTTACTGCTGAGGTTCAAAAAGCTCTTTCATGATGATCAGGAGCTCTTCATTTTGTTGCCCAAGCGTCAGATGTAAACTTAATTTAACAAAAAGGAACTATTAGGCTTGGATGCCCTTGTGTACCAGTTCTCATTTAAATTCCGAAAGGACGAGTTGAGTCTCCTTCGTCGGCTTTGTGAGCCAAAGAGTTACTTTCAAGTTTTTTTTATTTACAATAAAAAGTTTTGTATTAGAACATGTGAAATGTTCCGCTAAAAATTTCTGCTATTTCTGGCTTTGGATTGCAGAGATCCAGCCATTTCTGTCTTTCTAAAAATTTCTGTTTCTTTGGATGTCTGTTTCATGTTGAAAAGTTCTGCTGATATAACTGTTATTTTCCATTATTTTCTCATGGGGTGCATGTGGCACATTTATTTTGTTTTAAGTTTGCCTAATGCTAGTGAGGAACCAATAAAAAATAAAAAAAAGCCACAAATCCTATAGAGGGCCTCTGTACAAAATTATACAAGGTGGGAAGGAGAATGTACCATCTTTTAGTGCAGATCTTAAAGATGATGAGTGCAACGAAAGTTGAACTTCTGTTTGCACTGATGCGATATTTATCATAATATTGATCACTGCAGCAGTGTAACATTTTTTTTATTTATGAATGTGATGTAACATTTTGATTGCGCTAATATCTTATATTAAACCCCTCACTTTGCCCTCAGCAGGATTTTTTGCCCAGTGTTAATTCTCCCACATCTACATATTTGGTCCGGTGCGTGTGAAGTACTCTGTACATACACGACAATTTTGAATCTTCATCAGTAATTCAGCTTGATTCTAGGCAATCAGACCTTTATGCTATGTTTGGGAGTTTCCTAAAGGAGGAGATGGGAAATAAGGGAAGGGAAAACAATGTAAAGAAAAGAAAAATGAAGGAGGGGGGAAAAAAATAATAATCATGTTTGGAAATTTAACAATAGAAATGGAGATGAACCATTTCTTAGCCGTTAGACTTGTATCATGCTGTTCCAAAACAATTTATCTCCTCCGCAGCACAATCTGCTGGTTAACCAAATAAATATATAATGAATGGAGGTCAAAGGAATGTAAAATTTATTAACTTTCCTTTTCCCCCCGGGGCCCCTTTGAATCGGAACCTCTCTCTTCATGTTTACACCTCGCAACTTAATCAAGTTCCTTCCAGTTAAAAATCCCAAACGTCAGTGTATTACACGTCCGCTGACTAAACTCTACTAACAATTTCACGCTCCATTTTCGACCAATTAAAATACCAGAAACACAAAATTAAGTAAAGAGAGAAATTTTGATCACCGGAGGACAAATTTTCAAAACCGACCCATTTGTGAATTTAATCCCAAAAAACGACATCATTCAAACAAAATTGCAAAAATCGACCTGGTTTCAGCCTCAGCGCTGAAACCAGGTCGGTTTTTGCAATTTTGTTTGAATGAGGTCGTTTTTTGGGAATAAAAGTCTAATGGGTCAGATTTGAAAATTTGCCCGATCGGTGGAGGAGTCTTGGCCAACGATCAAAGAAAAGATAGTGAATGATGAAGAGATTGGACAAATTTTCAAAACAGTCATCTTTGGACTTTTGATCCCAAAAAAAGACTTATTTCCAACTTATTTTCAGAAACCGACCTGGTGTCAGCTTCAGCGTCGAAACCAGGTCGGTTTCTGAAAAAAATTTTCGAAACTTCACGGGAGTTGAGCTTTTCTTTTATATACATTAAATCTTTATTATTTTGAAAGTAGCATCAGTCATGGAATTCCAATTAGGGCCCTCAATTATTCTGAGGTTATCCTGAAATTGAGTCCCTCAACCGATTCAGGAACTCTGCGGTTTCGTACCCCCCCCCCCCCCCCCCGCCCCCCGCCCCCCTAGTTCTTATTTATTTGAAATTAGCCCATCCAATTAAGAGTAGAGGAAGAAATTGAAGAGATCACCAAGTAAAATTTAATGTCTTACCTATGGTTTCCCTCACTAGGATCAAAGCCCCTGTTTCCGTGATTTCCTATTATCAACCTACATTTCTGTTCTACTCATCAACCAGCAAAGGTTGCTGGGATCCAACAGTTTCATTAACTCTCAAACATCCGACGCTCTCGCGTCTTGAAAATTGCAAAACTTCTGATCACTTCAAGCAGATTTTGTGCCAAATGATGCGCTTTCATCTCACCACCCGAACATTTCCCATGAGCAGGCTTCTCTACTTCTCTGCGGTTTCTCACCCGGAGAATCTCAAAGATGCCATTCTCCTCTTTAAGCACTTTACCCCCTTCCCCAATCTCTATATTTGCAATATTATGATCTCAGCTCTGTCATTGCCACTCTACAAGTTTATGCTTTCATCTTGCATATACCCTGATGAACAGACCCTGCTTGCTCTTCTTAAAACTTGCGAGGATTTGTCAGTGGGTAAAAATATCCATGCCCACGCTGTCATTTTTGGATTCAGTTCTTATACGTATCTGCAAAATTCTCTGAAAAAAATGTATATGGGTTTTGGGAAGATGGGTCTTGCTCAAAAGGTGTTTGAACGATTGCCCGTGAAAGATACAGTATCGTATAACATCATGATATCGGGTTATGCCAAAATGGGTTGCATCTCTAGAGCGTTTCATGTGCTTGATGATATGCAGCAATCTGGTATTGAGCTGGATCATTACACGATGGTAGGTCTTTTAATGTGTTGTGGGCATTTGAAAGATGTACGTATAGGAAAATGCGTTCATGGATGGATGATAAGGAAAACTTATTTGTGTAATTGGGGCTTGGTGTTGAGTAATGCCCTTTTGGATATGTATGTCAAATGCGAGGATATGAAGTGTGCTTCGACTGTTTTTTATAGACTCTCTGAAAAGGATTGCATCTCATGGAACATAATTATGTCAGGATTTGCTAGCATTGGGGAATTGGATGCGGCGTTCGAAATATTCACTGAAGCGCCTGTGAGAGATTTGGTCTCATGGAACTCTCTGCTTGCTGGTTGTGCTCAAAAGGGTGATATTATAAGAGTAGAGAAGCTTTTCAAGGCCATGATTGCTCAGAATATCAGACCTGATAAGGTGACAGCTATTAATCTGGTTTGTGCCGCTGCAGAAATGGGAGTTTTGAATCAAGGGAGATCTGTTCATGGTTGGATCTTAAAAGAGCACGGAAATCTCGATGCTTTCCTGGGATCAGCGCTGATAGATATGTATAGCAAGTGTGGGAGCATTGAAAGGTCTCTTTCTGTTCTCAAGGCTCTCTCTGATAAAGATATTGCGGTTTGGACAGCGATGATAACGGGTCTTGCATTCCATGGTCGTGGATCTAAAGCATTAGAACTTTTCAAGAAAATGGTAGAAGAAGAAGACCTACTTCCAAATTCAGTGACGTTGCTTGCAGTTCTTACTGCTTGTAGTCATGCTGGCTTTGTTGAGCAAGGCTATAAATTTTTCAAGGATATGAAGCAAAACTATAGTATTTATCCGGGGGTGGAACATTACGGGTGTATGGTTGATCTTTTTGCTCGATCAGGAAGGCTAACGGATGCCATCGACTTGATCAGAAGGATGCCAATGAAGCCGACTCCATCAATGTGGGGTGCTGTATTAAGTGCAAGTAAAGCTTATGGAGATTTAAAACTCGCAGAAGCTGCTTTAAGGGAGCTCCAGATGCTTGAACCGGATAAAGAAGGTGGGTATATTTTGTTGTCTAATGTGTATGCGTCTTATGGACAGTGGAGCTATTCTAATGAGGTTAGAGTGGCTATGGAAAGTAGGGGGATAAAGAAAATGGCTGGTTGTAGTAGTTTGGTGGTAAATGGGGTTGTTCATGAGTTTGTTTCTTCTGATAAGAGGCACCCAAGAGAAGAGGATATTAATTTTGTAATGCATAACTTGCATGGAGAGATGAGGTTTCTTGCTGAAGTGAGATGATAGTTCTCATGATATGAAGGCTTTTTGATATGAGGTATAACTCTCTCTTTTAATGTAATTAGCATTTGGCTTAATTTTGATGCTTATGAAATGATTGCTCAAATATCCTTTTTTTTTCTTTTGGCAGATGGTCTGTGCCCTAAGATTGCCCTTGGCTAGTTTCAGGTGGATATTCAATGAGTAATACAACAATCTACAAGCAAATAACCTTAGTTTTCTTATCAATTTTCTCAGTTGAGGATAATATATCTTCACATTGCATATATTATCAACAATATACTATATTACAACAACGGAAGCAACAAAAAAGCTGTTGTTCCAAAATTTAAATCTCTTCATTCATCTCTGTCATGGATCACCGCTACTTCATCAACAACTGGAAATGCCTTTTATTACTTCCTTGGTCGATGTTTAATAGGTATGATACTCATTATTTTTTGCACCATCAACTATAATCCTATCACTCCTACTGGCATACGCATCAATTATGTAGAATTAGCCTTGACATTAATTTACTTAGGCAGAGTGCAGATTTTCATTCTTTTAATTAATTAGTTATTTCTAAATTCCTGTTAAAATCTAGAATCATCTGAGTTAGATTTGTGCCTGTTTTGATTAATGGGTCAAAATGGTATCTCCTTCCCTTTCTCCCTTTTCACATTTATAAACATCTTATATGATCCCAACTTCTGTAAAGAGATCAAACCTAATTTTCCTTTCCTACTTCCCATACGGCATATTATGCAAAGAGCAATTGATCTCTGGCTTGATATATGCATTGCTGGTAATATCCCCATCCTGCCTAAGTTATGAATATCAACCATTCAAGTTCAGATTTTTTCCGTTTTTGCCTAAATTAGTATTGTTTTCACTTCATGTGAAGCACTGAGGATACCGTATCCTATGGCCGCCGCTCTGACAATGACTTTCTACTACTCAGTTCCTCCTGCTATGCATGCTTTACCTTTGCAGCTTTGGATATCGGCAGTGTAGATGGTGATTTCTTTTTTGCTATGTCTAAATTCTACCCTGCGGACATATTTTTTGATCTAAATTCCCCAACATGGAATGTAAAACACTTGCTATCTAGAACGGAAATTTGCTAATTAGAAACACAGCCTAGCTGCAAGAAAAGATTTCCACTAAACAGATGGATCAAAACAAATATGGGAGTCTCAGTATAGCATCATAGAGGTCATTTCGGAAGATAATTCCAGATTTTTTTTGGTTTTCTATAGAACTATTTGAAATCAAAATTAGTCTGCAATTATCACTGTAATTGATTCATCATGATACAGTATGTCTCATCTCCTTTTCATTGCTAATGGTATTGGTCTTCTTTGTGGAGTGATCCACTCATTCAACCACCTGAAATTTCTGATCAAGTGTCTGTTTTACAGGGAACAAAATCTATGCACATTAACTGAATCGGATGAACTTTCATTATCCTGGTTAATGTTCTTTTATGTCATGCAACCTTGTGATTTTCGGAGATGGGCCAAATCAGTATATAATGGACGCATATGGAAACTTTTATATTACCAGAGACCAAGTGAGTAAAAGTTTAGATTTTGTTTAATCAAAGTAATTGGCACAGATTCAATTATTTTTAAAGTGTAGAACAATATCCGAACAACAGACAAAGGTCATACCAAAAAATAAAATAATAAAAAAAGAAAAAGAAATGAAAAAACTATATTGCCAAGCACCAAGCAAGTACAATCTAAAGATTTGGCTTAATCAAAGTATTATAGATGTTGTTATGACTCTAACTACGTGAAGTTGACAGGAATGAAACGGAGATCATTCAAACTTTATGGATTTGGATTAGTTCCTTCAAATAATTATTGATGTTATGCATGCTTAACTCAATCCGATATAAATTCTTGAACAAGATACTGAGCCATTACTATTACCTGTTGCAAACTTTTTGAGTGTTATGTATTTTATGAGCTCAATGCATTTAAATAAAGTTCTATCTTTAACTATTGATAAACAAATATACTTTGCTATCTTTACTGTGCCAGTAGTGTCAATTATTTCGTGATTGCCTGGTATTATATAATAATAAGTTATATGATAATAAGTGTTTCATCTGTGGGGCCACATCTTAATCAACACTTACTTTTACTTTTTTAAACTTTGTTTTCCTTATCCATTTAGAAGATTTTTACTTCTAATGGCGCCTTTTCTTGACTAAGTATGGGATTAAGGGATAATTGAAAAGCAGAGCACATGGCTAGAATAATTTATGTTACGTAGGTGTTTATTGAAATGTAGGAGAATGAAAATGTAAAAATGCTATATATCAGACTAATAACTCAGACTCACCCATGTTGAATAAAGGCTAAATATCAGAAAACACCCCTTCGGATGATTATCATTCAGATATCCCCATAAATTTCAAAATACTAGAGACCTTTCTTTAAGTTTAGGGTTATTAGAAAACCCTCTTTAACTATAAAATTTTATAATTTTATCAGGAAACCGCCCTAAATAGTGTTAATCACAATTTCAATGCGTGGGTGGTATTATGCAAGGTATTAAATATGGGATTAAGAAATAGGGGAAAAGCAGAGTAAATGACTAGAATGTTTTATGTGATGTAGATGTTTATTGAAACGTAGGACAATGAAAAAATAAAAATGCTATATATCAGACAAATAGCTCAGACTCACCCATGTTGAATAAAGGCTAAAATTGAGAAAACCTTCCTTTAGATGATTATCATTCAGATATCCCCATAATTTTCCTAATATCAGAAATCCTCCCTAAGCGTAGGGGTTATTGGAAAACCCCCTTTAACTATAAAATTTTATGATTTTATAAGGA